CAGCTGCTAAAAGACTTTTGTTTATAAATGCTGCTGAACTAATCCAAGATAGGTATTTTGAAAATACCTTGACTTCTGAATTTGGATCTAAGGATATGATACTTTGGAAAGGAGGTTCTTCTTTTGTTTTCACAGAGGATGAGACCCTGTGGATTGCTTCTATCCCAATATGGTATGACAGACCACGCCCTCCTGAAAGGTTGCTATGAATACCCTCAAAAAATTTCTTCACTCAACTGCCGACTGAGATGAACCTAGCAGACAGGTTATACCATGAAAGACCTGATTAACTGCGCCCCTATACAGCAGGAAGAAGTTTGGAGAGAAATAACTATGTCCATATTCCCAAATATTGCTTATAAATGTTCTTTTACATTTAAAGGGGGATATGATATAGATATGAATAATTTCATTGGTATGGATTTTAAGGTCAATTTTGTTATATGTATATATATATATTTCTGATCTTGATTGAGGTATTGTGATTGTGTAGTCCATTTAAAAATGTAATGTATAATTAAAAATATAGGTTGTTAATGGGTAATCATTGATAATAGTCAAGCTTGTAGTAATGTTAGTTTGATTTTCTAGATGTGCATAGATATAATTCAGATATGCATTTTTCATATCTTTCAAAGACTACAGAACATGGCATTTAATGTTTTAATAACTTAGGACTTTTCATGACAATGAGACACGTCTGCTCCTGGCAGCACCAATCTACTTCAAGAGGAAGAAGGGCATCGAAGAGGCTCCTTTTGGAGTTGGTTAGCCATTTGGGCAAGAAACTGTTCTTGCCTGGACTGTTGTATAAACTGGACACAGAGAACCCACAGAGAGGACTGCTGAACTTGCCTAAAGGTGAGATGATCTTTCGGGGTTCTTGATTCATGAAAGAGTCTGCGAGACATTCTCCAGGATATAACAGATAGTGACTGAACTGCCTTTGAAATTTCCTGCTTCATGAAAATGTCTCTGGATACTATGGGCCTGAAGGCTGAAGATGAATGCCCTAACGATACAGAGGAACTTTGGGTGACTGTCCAGGCAGCGAGATGTCTCTGTCATTTCTAGAGTTTTGGAAGTTGCTTACTTCTTGTTTACTTAGGTAATATATCCTTATGGAGTCTTTGATGGAGTTGAAGAATGGATAGTCATAGTTATAGTTCTCCATTATTATGATAAAGATATAGTTATAAATATTGTGACTGTAATTCTTGCTTGATAACTGTTTTGTTATGTGTAATTTTACTATGTTAAAATGAAAGCCTTTCTTTTTTGTTTAAACGGAAAAAGGGGAAATGATGGAGGAGGGTTATCTGTCTATTGTGTTATTTTCATTGGTCAATAAAGAGACTGCCTTGGCCCTTTGATAGGACAGAAAATTAGGTAGGCGGAGTAAACAGAACAGAATGCTGGGAAGAGGGCTGTGAGGCAGACGCCATGGAGCCAGCCACCAGGTCAGACAGGCTGAATCTTTCCCGGTAAGCCACTACCTCGTGGTGCTACACAGATTAGAAATGGGTTAATATCAAGATATGAGAGTTAGTCAGTAACTAACTCTCTAGAGATAATGGGCCAGGCAGTGTTTAAATGAATATAACTTATGTGTTATTATTTCTGGGGCTAAGCTAGCCATGCGGGAGCCGGGCAGGACAAAAAGCAGGCCTGCCTGCAGCCCCTCACTACAGGGATTAAAGGCGTGCGCCACCACTGCCTGGCTATGTGTGAGCTTTTGAAAGCTCTCCAGGAGATTCAGTTGTGCACCCAGCATGAAAAAACATTGTTCTGGGACTGGAGAGATGGCTCCAGCAGTTAAGAGCACTTGCTGCTTTTGCAGAGAAACCAGGTTTGGTTCCTAGCACCCATGTGGTCGCTCACAACCATCCCTAACTCCAGTTCCAGGGGTCAGGTGGCTTCTTTGACCTCTTCAGGCATGGCGAATGTGGTGCATATATACAAACAGGCAAAATACTCAAAATAAAATCAATATATCTAATAAATAGAGAAATTACTGTTGTACTAAGGGGAGATGCAGAGATAATGTTCTATATACAGGATGTTTATTGCAGAATTGGGTTATTGGAAAAATCCAAATGTCCAAGAGTAAAAGACTGATTTAAAAATTATGAAATAATTCTAAGTGAATTCATTTAAAATCATATCATAGGTATAGATTAGCAGAAAAACATGTTTATGACATGAAATAATGTTAGTAGTAATATTCTGGTAGGTATAATTGGACTTTTTATATAGTTTTACAATGTCCACATATGGTAAATGCAGAAAATACTCATTAAAATAAGAAATTGTTCCTTTTACTTAATTTCAACTTTGTAATTCTTTGCAAACTCCTTTAATTTGGGGAAATAGAAAGAACTTAGAAATACTTAAAATTCAAGTCCCTGTAGAGATTAGAATGTCATTATAATTAACCACAAATCTAATTAATTTTACCATAACTCATTTGAAGAAAAACTAACAAAAGAGAATGGTCAATAGAGTGCACAAAAACGTGAAGGTAAATCAGTCTTGGCCTAACATCTGTAATCCCAACATTCAGGAAGCGGAGGCAGGAGGGTTGTGAGTTAGGAGCCACTTGTGCAGCATGGTACGGTTCTGTCTCAAAAACCACCTTGATCTTTGAGTCAGTGATAGAAGGTTGTACGTGGTCATTCCTGTGTCAAAAAAGAATGTAAAATAAGGGAGCCATTTCTTTTTTTATCCACAATGGTCATTGAAATGGGAAAACCACTCTTCAAGTAAGAAAAATCCAGAAGGCAGGTGTACCCGCCTGTAATTCCTACAGCCTGAGAAGCTGAGGTGGGAGGCTTGCGAGTTTGAGGCCAACCTGGCCATTTAGTGAGAACCTGTCTCAAAAGAGGAAGGGGCCAAGAAGATGACTCAGCAGCTGAGAGCACATCCTGTTCTTGCAGAAGGCTTGAGTTTGTTTCTAGCACACATCTGGTGGCTCATGATGATCCAACACCTCTAACTTTGGGGGCACCAACACTCACAGGAACAGATACATAGCTTAAAAATTAATCTTTTTTTATTTTTAAAAAAGAAGGTTGGAATATAACTTAGTGGATACCTTGCCTAGCATACACGAGGCCTTGTATGATCTGCAACATTGCATAAACTGGGTGTGGTAGCCCGTGCCCATAGTCCCACTCCTTGAGAGGTAGAAGCAGGAGTACTGGAAATCAGAAGTATAAGATCATAAAGGTCTCTCAACATAAAGCTAGCCACACTGAACCTTATAGAAGAGAAAGTGGGAAGTACACTTGAACACATTGGCATTCCTAAATAGAACCCCAGCAGCACAGACACTGAGAGAAACAATTAATAAATGGGATCTCCTGAAACTGAAAAGCTTCTGTAAAACAAAGGACACAGTCAACAAGACAAAACGACAGCCCACAGAATGGGGAAAGATCTTCACTAACCCCACATAAGACAGAGATCTGATCTCCAAAATATACAAAGAACTCAAGAAATTGGTCACCAAAAAAGCATATAATCCAATTAAAAAAAATGGAGTACAGACCTAAACAGAGAACTCTCAACAGAGGAATCTAAAATGACTGAAAGACACTTAAGGGAATGTTCAGCATTCTTAGTCATCAGAGAAGTGCAAATCAAAACAACTCTGAGATTCCATCTTACACCTGTAAAAATGGCCAACATCAAAAACACTGATGACCACTTATGCTGGGGAGGTTGTGGGGGGAAAAGGGAACACTTCTGCATTGCTGGTGGGAATGCAAGCTGGTACAGCCCCTTTGGATGTCAGTGTGGTGATTCCTCAGAAAATTAGGAAGCAATCTTCCTCAAGACCCAGTAATACCACTTTTGGGTATATATCCAAAGGATGCTCAATTGTGCCACAAGGACATGTGCTCAACTATATTCATAGCAGCACTGTTTGTCATAGCCAGAACCTGGAAACAACCTAAATGCCCCTCAATCGAAGAATGGATTAGAAAAATGTGGTACATTTACACAATGGAGTACTACACAGCAGAAAAAAATAACGACAGCTTGAATTTTGCCGGAAAATGGATGGAACTAGAAAACATTATTTTGAGTGAGGTAACCCAGACACAGAAAGACAAATATCACATGTACTCACTTATAGGTGGTTTTTAAACATAAAGCAAAGAAAGCCAGCCTACAAACCACAATCCCAGAGAACTTAGACAACAATGAGGACACTAAGAGAGACTTACATAGATCTAATCTACATGGGAAGTAGAAAGTATAAAAAGACAAGATCTTCTGAGTAAATTGGGAGCATGGGGACCTGGGGTGGAGCTCAAGGAGGGAGGGGAGAGGCAGGGAGAGGAGCAAAGAAAAATGCAGAGCTCAATAAATATCATGGAGAAAAAAAGATCATAAAGGTCAGCCAGGCAGTGGTGGTGATGCACACCTTTAATCCCAGCACTCGGGAGGCAGAGGCAGGCAGAGCGCTGTGAGTGTGAGCCAGCCTGGTCTACAGAGTGAGTTCCAGGACAGGCTCCAAAGCTTAAAAAAATATAGGATCCTACAGAAAGAGTTCAAGGCCAGCCTGGTTTACAGATATATATATATATATATATATATATATATATATATATATATATATATAGAGAGAGAGAGAGAGAGAGAGAGGATGATTATCTGATTGCTAACAAGATTATTAGTGAGAAGGGACATTAATGTTTATTGTGTGATACGTGTGATACTCAGGAGCCAGGTAGTAGTTTCCAGACTGAAACTAAGAAGAATCAGGTCCAGTCATTTATGATCAAAACCAAACTAACTCCAGATCTTTACATGTGATACTACATGCTCCTTAAATAATATGAAAATGTATGGTTTGAGTAACCTAGGTTTTGACCCTAGACTCAAGCAAACATTATTCAAGAATCTTGGATCAGGCTGGAGCTGTTTGTTTTTTAATTCAGTTGTGACCATTTCAAACAAAATTGAAGTTAACTGTACATCATGAAAGGTACCTTGTTAGGCTGACCCGAGTGACTGACTTCACACAATCTTCTGACTGATTTCTAGACGAATGCCCTGAGAATTCCTCGAAGCCAGGAGAATAAGGAAAATTCCAGAGCCTTCCCTGTATACAAGGAAATCCCGATTTTCTTAAGCCCTTGACCAAAGGTTGAGCGTCAAGTCCACAGCCAGGTTCGGTCTCCTTCTGTGTACTGATAGTCTATGAAGAATTGTAACTGCAACACGAGATGTTTAATAGAAAGCTCCTTCCTTTGTGACATCATCAGGCAGATTGTTTAAGACACTCAGAACAGCAGCCACTTTTGTGCGGGACCAAAGAACAGCTGCCCTGAAAACAGTGAAGAGAAACACTCATGCTTTATTAGGATCCTGAAAACAAGCCAGCTGATAAAACATGGCATCTACCCAGAAGGCCACAGTCTATCATGTGTTGAAGACAAATAAAAGTGGGTCCAAGGTAGCGGTTTCATCACACAGAGGGGCTGAGGTGACTACCTCCACACCTCAGCGGGGCCATGGCTATATTTCCTCAAGCCAGCGAGGCCCTGCTGTCTCCTTGAGCCCTTCCCAGAGAAGAACCGAAGCTGCATCTCTCACCACTCACTGTTCAGTGGCCGACTATCCTCGCTCTCTGTCCCCACAGCCGGGGCCTGGCCTCTCTACAGTCTCCACTTCACAGGGAACTGAGACCCGACCAAGAACAGAGACATCCCGCCCTCGCTCTCCTCATCGGAAGAACCAGTCAGTGCAGACACTATCTTCTCATCTCTCAGGAGGGCGTAGGAATGTCAGCCCAATGAGGGAAGAGTCAACCCGAAGATACGAGAACAAACCAGGCCGTGAAGTTGGCTACCATTTCTCTTTGGCTTCTGATGCCAAATGCCGCCACTTGAATTTTATAAGTGAGAAGGAGGAGGACCCACCCTCCAAGGTCCAGAACCCCCAGGGGGTTAAAGTACCCCGTAGGGTTTCAGCTCACCCAAAGGATGAAGCTATACAAACAGAGCCCTCCCGAAGGACTACTGTTGAGGTCAAATCTTCCAGAAATGTCTCAGAGCATGGCAGTCGTGTCACTAGTGACCATCAGACAGTCGTTAGAAAGATCCCTCCCAAGGAATCAGAAATTGCTCCTCTCAGCTCAATTCTCTCAGAACCCAAGCAAAAGAACGTGAAAGCATCGTCAGGCCTCAAAGTCTCTGCCCTCGGAGATTTAGATGGGGTACCCCGCAGTCCTTTGCGTTCAGATCGCACAGTCTATGTGGAGACCAAGCCTTTCTCAAAGGTTTTAATATCAGAAATAGAACCCACCGTGAAGTCTCCAACCCGAGACCGTGAGGTTGGACGCAAGGTGACCATCTCCTCAGGAAAACAGGCAATACAGTCACCTCATCGTGTGACAACTAGAGTGGTATCTGAAGGACACTATAAATCTCCCCTGTACACAGAGCTGTCACCAAAGCCCTCCATCCATGCAGAACTAGAGTTGACCCCTCGGCCTTTGCCCCCAAGGTCCTTACCTAGGTATGGGCCTGGTTGCTCATGGTGGGCCTTACTGAATCCTAAAGTTGAAACGCCCCCTAACCAGCCATCAATATTTGATTTTGAACCTACGTCCCCTCCTCCCCTAGACCCTTTAGAGTCATTTTTTGAAATGGACTCAAACCTTTTCTGTGAGGACCTGATGTTCCAGAGAGAAAAAGGAAGCCTGCCGCCGTCACCAAAGGAGTCTTTTCTCCGAGTCCCGTTGTTACAAGTGCCAAAGACTCCGAAGTACACCAGCAAACAGCCCATTCAAGGTTTCAATGCTTTCTTCCTGGGTATGTGGAGAAGTGAGCTGTCCAGGTGCAGCCCACACTTAGTGAAATGGGACATTAGATAGGCATGAAAGCACCCCCTCGTCATCCTGGGCCCCAAGGATGCCTTCCTGCTACTGCCAAGCTGCTTCTATTTTTGAGCTCGGTACTCCATGCCTTGGCTGCCAGCTTCCCTGAGCTCCACGCTAGTGACATCAGTGCAAATGGTTAAAGTTGGAGCTGAACACGACCTCCAACAGTCATGCAGCTTAACTCTGCCATGGAAGGTAGAATGGCTGGCGGGTCAGACGTGGATGCCTCAGAGCGTAAATAAAGAACTGAGGCAGGGTGTGGGCTAGTAAGGGCTGTTAAAAACAGTAAGAGCCCCGCGTTAATATCCTGGTTTTAAAGTAGAGTAGGTACCCACATGGGCTGGGTCTCGGGCTTCCCGGAGGGGGAAAGCGTTATAGTTCACAGAGACGGTGTGACAGGGACAGGGACAGTGGTGGGAGGAGAGCCCCTGGAACAGACCAGAGGCTAAGAGGACTTTCTACTGGAGACCTGGAGATTTAGGCAATGGAGGGAGGGGTGGGTGACATTCCACAGGCAGGAAAAAGCAAGGTTGTGTGTTCCTTTCAGATGTCTCTGAGGAAATGTACAACCGGATCCTCTGGTGGCTGAAAGGTCTGTGCTCCCTCTTCTTGTGGGGGGTTTGGGGAGAGGGCAGCCTCCATGTCTGTTGTACCGCTGGGTCTTTTAAGAAAGTAAGTGACTCGGATTTAGACCTTCAGTTCGTTATTAGTCAGCCCTTTGGGAATGTGAAGCTTTTTCATCTTCCACAGTGAGCTGTAACGAAAACTCAGTTCTGGGAAGGAGAACAGCAGAAGCCCCGTGGTCCTTAAACTCAATCTCTTCTATCATATGTTGGGGGGCGGTTGTTCATTTTTGAGGCAAGATCTTGTTATGTATCCTTGACTGGTCTTGACTTTGCTATGTAGACCAGGATGGCCTTAAATACATAGAGATCTACCTGCCTCCAAAGTTCCATCACACCCAGCTTCTATCACCCCTTTTAAGATTTAATTTATTTGATGTGTTTAGGGTGTTTTTGCCGCATGTAGCTCTGTGCCCATGAAGGCCAGAAGAGGGCATCAGATCCCCTGGAACTGGAGTCACAGACAGTTGTGAGCTGCTCTGTGGGTGCTGGGAATTGAACCTGGTTCTTCTGCAAGAGCAGCCAGTGCTCTTAACAACTGAGCCATCTCTCCAGCCCCTGTCATGTGTTTTAAAGAAAGTCACCAAAACAAACTACCCACTTTGAAGTGTTGCCCATTGCTGAGTCCACAGTGGCATTGGTCAAGGGTTCAGAACTATCTTCACGCCTTGTCTCCACTTGTTGTCCTGGCAGGATCTCTGGCTCTGCTCACCCTTCCCCTCCTCACACCAGTAGGTCTTGCATTCACCTCTGGAATCACTAGCATCCTTCAGGTCCTTTTATTCCTTTTTATGCTTGGCCACTGGTGGTGTGGGAGTGGGAGTGAGGATCAGACTTGGAAGAGTGTATCTTGGTAGCAGAGACTCTTGCAGTAAGAATTATGGCATGGTCAGGTGGTGGTGGCGCACACCTTTAATCCCAGTACTTGGGAAGCAGAGGCAGGTAGATCTCTGTGAGTTCAAAGCCGGCCTGGCCTACAGAGCTAGTTCCAGGACAGCCAGGACTATTTCATAGAGAAACCCTGTCTCAAAGAAGAAACAAAAAGAATTATGGCTTGATAAACTCCTAAGCTATTGATGGGACAGAGGCTGGGCTCTGGATGGCATTCCTGGGGAGGAGAGAGTCTTACAAATGCATTGCAATCCTGAATCCTCCTCCCATTTGGAGGGTCTGACCAGTGTGAGCTGCTTTAGATGTAAAGCCCTTTACAGGGTGCCGAGCTTTATGAACACTCAGTAAATGCGGCCACTGCTGTTCGGGACATTTGGAGCCCCAGGAAGGGGCGTGGGCTGGGTTATACTCATATCAACTTGACATCTTTAGTAACACTCTCTTTTTCCCCTCATGTTGACACTTTCTGAATTCCATTTGCTGCCCCCCCCTGGAAATGCCTGGCTTCCACGTCTTTGTTATGACAGATGAGGAGGTAAGAATCCCTCTGGGAGTAACTTACAGTCCAGTGTCCCCAGCCCTCATGGAATTCCTCCTCCTGTCGTCTGATGGAGGGGGGCGTGGAAGGAGACAAACCGCAGCATGTGGCTGGGTAGGCTGTCGAGTGCACAAAAGGGCACTGTGTTGCACCCAGGGGTATTTGTACCAACGTGTTAGACAAGCTAAAGCTGCAGCTTTGGAGAGAAAGAATAGAGCTTTTGCCCAGTGCTCTGTGGGAAATGGGGCAGCTATGGTCTAGGTCATTCCCCATCTGGCTCTTCCCTCTCCTGCCTAGGGCACTTCAGAAGGGGGCCGCTTTTCTGGGTTACACACTGTTTGAGTCCTCGAGTTAGAGAAACATGAAGTGGGCTCCGTCCTTGGCAGCCCTGTGTCCTAAATTTGGCAGCGTCTGATTTTGCGCTGCGTTTGCTGTCCCCTTAAGTGCCTGTGCTCTGCTCGTTCCACGTGTGATACAATGGGCAAAGCTCTTCCTGCCTCCATTCTTCCCTTGATCACATTTGTTTCCTACCCAAAGCCTAGCAGAGTCTTGTCCGTGGCTGGCCGACCCACGGGGAACAGTTGACTTCAGATGGAAAAGGAGTAGGGACAGCAAGAGCTCAGATAACAGAACAGCTGAAAGGGAGGTGTCCAGGAATGCAGCTACCACCCCCTCTGCTAAGAGTTCTTATCCAGCCTCAGGCCTGAGCTCAGCTGTAGGTGGGAGCAGCCACTTTTAGAGACTATCTCCAAGCAAAACAGTGAATCCCTCTCTTCTGTTTCCTCCGGTCCCGCCCGCTCCTTCATTCCATAGACCATCTTCTAATCAGACGTGTGACACTCTGCTAGGCACTAATACATACATACACACACGCACACGCACACACGCACACGCGCACCAGTTTTTTGCTTTGACATACTGACTATGGGAAGATAAGACATGGACAGGAAAAAATAATACTATGCACTAGGCTGTGCTCAAATACCCAATCAACAGCTGAATGAATGCTCTTGGAGGAGGGCTCAGGAGATGGGGAATCAGGAGGAGGGTAAGTGGAGGGTAGTTGCACCCTCCTTTCCAACGTCAGGGAAAGATATCCATAATACAAATTTGTACCTTTGGGAAGGGCACTGTTTTCTTTGGTTCCAGATTTGATGCCTGTGACTCGAGCAGGCTCCTTTCCATCCTCCCAGCCTTGTCCCCTTTTTCTGTGCACCGTGCTTTAGTTTAGGAAGTCAAAAGCC